GATGATGGTGGGGGGGGGGGGGGGCCACCAAGGCAAGGCAGCAGCCATCCTGTCTTGAGGTGCAGGTACAGGGACAGCCAGAAAGCCAAGCCCAGAGACTTCAGAGCCAGCCCAAGCTCTTCCCAGAAGATGGAAGAGGAGAAGGGGCTCCTCGTAAAGCCGGTGCACTGCATGGGAGGAGGAGGGGGGAGTCGGCAGTGATGGAAATCAATACCCGGAGGGCAGAAGCCTCTCCTCCATTTGCAACCGGCAGACAAGCTGAGCTCAACTTAACAGGACCATCCACCCTCCAGGGAAAAGGGGGGCCCGCCCCGCCCCGAGCAGGCCGTCGGCTCCCCCCCAGGGCACCCGCAGGCCCCGTTCGTGGGGAGCCATGGGTGGCCAAGCTGGCAGAGTCCCCATTACCTTCGGGAGAGGAGCCGGTGCCCTCACTCTCCGGCAGGCCGCCCCTGTCCTCAGCAAGGAGAGCAGGAGGAGGCCCAGCGGCCGGTCTGGCTTCCTCTTCCCCAGAGTCCGCGCTGCCATCGGGGTCTCCGTTTTCTACGCTGCTCCTGGCCGAACCCTCCAAAGTGGGAGAGACCCCGAACCTGAAGAACAGAATCATGAAGAGGACACACGCTGAGGAGGGGCCCTTGCACCTTCCCTCCTGGCCAGACGTTTTCCGGGGGGGGGGGGGGGAACTCTGCTAAGTGTCACGAGTGGCCAATGCCCTTCTTAACCCTGAGGCTGCCGAGACAGGATGGCTTCTCCAGGCGGGGGCAAGCAAATCCCCTACATCTGCCCGGCTTCCCGCACCAGCTGTGGGGCACGGGGAACAAGGCAGTAACCTCTCCCCACACGAGCCTCCAGAGGAGGAGACCCAGGCAGGAGCTGTTCTGCAAACCTCGCCCAGCAGCACAGACTCCAAGGACAGCCAGCCACCCTGCTGGGCGGCATGGGGCCGGGGNAGAGAGAGAGCGGTGGCAGCTCTGCACCTCAGGACATTTGTGAAAGGGTGGCAGGTGCCCCCAGGCCCACTTGCTCTCCTGGTGAAGATGGCCAGGAAGCTCAGGAGCCTCGTGGTGCAGTGGTTCAACTGCAGTCCTGCAGCCAAGACTCTTCAATCCCAGGGAGCTGGGAGGAGGTCCATTTGCCCTTCCATCCTTCTGAGATCAGCAAATTGAGGACCCAGATCACAGGGGCCAGAATGTGTAGCCTGCCCTTTGAATTGCAAACCATCCAGAGAGTGCTTTAAGTGCGACAAGGAGGTCTAGAAGAAGCACCCGTTGCTTTTTTGCTTGGCTTTAAGCCCGACGGCAGAAACCAGTTCCCTGGCCGAATGAACTGCCTTGCCGGCGGAAGGGTAGTTGGTGCGCCTAAGCCCACCTACCCGCAGTCCTGGCCCCACTGTAGCCCTCCTGCGGCCACTCCCGCCTGGCAGGATGTACCACCCACTTCTTTCTTGTACCCTTGAAGGAGAGGCAACGCGAGGCGCCCTACAGCTGACGGATGGGCAAAAGGAGGCGCCTGGCCCGCGGCCGCCTTACCGTGTCCTGGACTTGGCTTGCACTGCATAGCTAACTTCTTTCTCTTCCCAGATGTCTTCTTCCTCCTCCTCTTCCTCCTCCCCATTGTCATCAAACTGCTGGATTCGTTCACTGCAGCAGGCTTCAAACAGGGATGCGTTGGGCTATGAGAAAAGTCAACACAGGGATTAGGGTTGACGTCAGGGGATCCGACGAGAAGGATCAGCCACGACAGCTCGGTGTGGACAGGCACTTCCTGGGCCACCTGCCTGGGCCAGCAGAGGCACTTCTTCAGCCCAGGCAGGTAAAGAAACCTGATGGCTGTCCTCAAGCACTGACGGGTGCACGCACCTGCAGGATGGCTCCTGGGCTCCCAAGGGGAGAGAGGGGACACCAACCTCCCAGGGCCATCCGACACACCCTCCTCCCTCCTTTGATCCAAGGGAGAACATTCCTGACTCCCTCTGTAGCAATTCTTCTCTAGCCCACAGGGTTGAGAGCCAGGCCTCCCGGCTGGAAAAGGAGGAAGATCTCCCATGGGTGTGGCACTCCAAGGCTGCCACACCCAGAAGAACATGTGGGCAATCATCACTGCCCTCACACTTCTTAAGGCGCCTGGTGGACCTCGTTCAGCTCCTCTGCCTGCCAGAGCTGGCTTCCAAAGTTGTCACGTCACCTGCTGCTTCTGTAGGAATTCTCTCTGTATCCTGGCCCACTGCGGGAGACGGTGCTGCTTCCTGTCCTCAACACAGCCCTGCGCGACTCTGGGGGCTTCACTGGCAACCTCACGGACAGGCGGCCATCAGGAGAACCCCCCGCCCCCGCCCCGGGAAGTCAGTCACCCCAGCCTTGGCAGTGGCAGCAGTCCCCGGGGTGTGTGTGTGCAGAATGCCCTCCTTCTTGGTGTCAAGAGATACCTGCTGGGGCCTCAGGATTTAGGGACAATGCACCCCCAGTACCTAAGAGAGCCCGGTGCTGCTCCCATCTTGTTTGGGGCGTTGAGAGAAGAATGGGCAAGGACTCCCACGGGGTGCCTCTTCCAGTGATCTGGGGCTACTTACGCTGTCATCGTCCGCGTCCACCGTGAAGCTGATCTCTGCAATCCTATCGAAAGGCGCGCTGGAAGACACAAGCGGCAGGCCCTTGAAGGCTAGGAGGAGCGGGCTTGGGGGGGCTGCTCAGGGAAGCCTCCCCTCCCCGTGACCTGTAGCAGAAGCAGCAGCAGCAGGCGTCTCCCTCCCTCGACCCAGAAGTGAAAAGGCTTTCCTCACACCTATGTCCTTCTCAAGGGGTCACACGAGTCCCCCTTGCTCCCCACACTCAGCTCCCCCCCCGGAGACCTACGAGAGACTGACCGCACGCGATTGGCTCACGGCCCCCACATCAGCCGTGCCACTCCTGTGGGTCCAAGTCCCCGCTGCCTGCCATGGGCCACCTCCCTGGGCAAGCAGGGCCGGAAGCAACACCTGCAGGCCGCCCCCCTGGACGCAGGCCTTCCCCAGCAACCGGGGCTTCAGAGAGACCCGAGGCTGGGCTGCCTCCGGAGCACCTCCCCCCCGCAAGAGGGAGCAGGAAGGGCTCACTTGATGTTGTCATCATGGTCAGCAAACTCTTCATCGTTGAAGCCAAACTGATCCACAAAGTTGGCCGTCATCTGCTGGATCTGATACTCTGAGAAGGCCTAGGAGGAGAGGAAGCGAGGCTGTACCACGGTCCTAGCCCTGCCAGGGGTCGCCGGCCAAGCCCCCCCCACTCCGGCCCCCCCACAGAGAGCTCAGCCCCAAAAGTCAGTCCTCTTCACACATATGCCTTCCCATTCCATTTTTAAATGGATAAAAAACAGAAGAAATGTACAAGTAACAAAACTAAAACACAAACTCAGTAGTATCGCCGCGCCACAGACAGTGAACATTTCCCACCGGTGCCACCTTCACCCTTGCCCCGCTGTTTCATGCCACCTCAAAGCACTAGTGTCTACACAGCCCTCCTGGACCGGGAGCTGCTCCTTCCGTCGTCTCCCAGGGGGCCCAGGAATCTGGCAAGGGAGCTGTCCTCCAGGGCCCCTTCCAGGGGAGAGCAGGGAGGCAGAACACCCCAAGGGGCTTCTTCCTTTTGCAGAAGGTCTCTCCCTTCCGCCGGCACAGAATAAGACACACCAAGGACCAGCACGTCTCCCTCACCTCAGAACGGCAGACAAACACCCGCTGAGACCCTCTCCCCTCGCTGGCCAAAGAAAGAAAGAAAGAGCGGCTGCCCAATCCAAAGGGCCAAACGGGGCTGGCCCTCGGTCAGAAGAGTCTCAACCCATCCCCTTCATCCCCCCCTGCCCTCAGAAAAACCAATCCCCTGGAGACCGCCCATGCCGGAAGGGCTCTCGGCCTTGGAGCGCCCTGGGTGGGGTTACCTGCTGGAGAGAGAGCTCGTTGGGGAAGGCAGCCTCGGGGTCCTCGTCCTCGCTGGAGGAGTGCAGGTGGTGGGTGCTCACCTGGGAGAGGAGAGGAGAAGGGAAGAGAGGAGAGGCGGTGGGCATCAGCAGCCAGGAGAGCCGCCGCCGCCGCCTGCCCCGGGAAGGGAGCCTGCCTCTCTGCGGCTCAGAGCACCCACCCACCCAGAAGAGCGGTTCCAAAGACGGCCGCCAAGGGCGGGGGGGGGGAACCGGCCATCACCCTGGGCAGCCTCACCAAGTCTACGGTATTCCTTCGGTTGGCCTCGGTCAGGGTCTCCTCCACAAAGCTCTCCCACCGCCCCTGGCAATCCTCAGGGAGCCCTGTGGAAAAGCAGACCGAGAGCTCAGCGCCAAGACTGCCAAGGCAGGAAGCATCCCTGAGAGGAGTCCACCTGGTGCCTACCTCCCCCGCCCCCCCCCCACTTGCACGGCTACTCCTGAAGTGGACTACAACCCCACCTGACCCCATGGGAGGCAGGAACCTCCTTCAGCCTGAGGAGGATGTGATGAGTAGGCTTTGCGGAGGTGGCCGGCTGGCAAGTGAAGGGAAGGACAGAGCCTAGCTGGCTTTTGGCGACAGCCCTGCTCAGGTCCTGCATCCCTTGCACCCTTTTGCAATCCTGTTCTACTGTGGGGAGACATCGCCTAGATAGACACAGCTATCGGGAAGAAATGGTCAAATCTCTGGACAAGTTGACCACTCAAACCAGCTGCAATCTAGACTGGACTGGAAGTTGTGTCAAGGTTTGATACCTCATCTGTTTGTCTGTTTAAAAGAGTGTTAGAACAGTTATGGGGTGGGTGGATTTAAACTGCCCTAAAAGCACAGTAGTTTTAAACTTGCAGCAAAACCAGTCCAACAAGCAAGGTCACTGAAAGAATAATACCGTATTTTTTGCTCCATAAGACGCACCTCCCCCCCCCAAATGTGGAGGGAAGTCTGTGCGTTTTATGGAATGAAGGCGGCGATTTTGCCCGCGCTGGCCCCGTGAGCCTTCCCGGACCTTTGCGCCGCTCCAACCATCCCCCACGGGGCCAGCGCGGGCGAAATCGCCACCTTCTGGGACTCTTTTGAGGCTTGGGAAGCTTCAGAAGAGTCCCAGAAGGTGTCGATTTCGCCCCCTCTGACCCCCGGGGGGGCAGGGCGAGTCTCTAAAGGGTCCTAGGGTGTGTTCCATAAGACGGACCTCTCCATAAGGCTCACCAATTTTTAGGAGAAGAAAACAGATTTTTTTGCAGTTTTCTTCTCCTAAAAATTTGGTGCGTCTTATGGAGCAAAAAAATATGGTAGTTCTTTGGCAACTACCTATTTCGCTTTGCAATATAATGTATACAAGAGAGATATGGAAACTGTAAACACTGACATCTGATGGATAACTGCTAGAAACACGAAGGTTTTTATTCAGAACAAACAACATTTGATAAGTTGTTTTTAGGTTCAAAAGATAAAATAGTTAAGAAAATATATAATTATCTGTTAGAAATCAAAATGCAAGATGAAATGGTAAAAGAATGTATGATTAAGTGGCCACAAAACATAGGGCATAATATTGATATTGATCAATGGTTGAAAATATGGCAAAATAATATAAAGCTTACAAGATCGGTTAATTTTAAAGAGAATATATAAAAGATGTTTTACAGGTGGCATATGACTCCAGAAAAATTGTCAAAGATGCATACAGATGTATCAAATGTGTGTTGGAAATGTGAAGCACATGTGGGAAGCTATTACCATATGTGGTGGTCATGTAAAGTAGCGAAACAGTATTGGAAAAGAGTACTGTACATGCTGTGCTGCAACAAATATTGCTTTGTAAGGTTCCACTAACCCCAGATCTGTTTTTATTGCGTATGATACCTGATAACATAGATAAGGAAAAGAAGTATATAGTTATATACATAGTCACTGCAGCTAGAATCCTTTATGCCAAAAACTGGAAAAATCCGACAGTACCGAAACAAGAAGATCTTATAGAGATGATACGGGAAACAGCGGAAATGGACATTTTATCAGAAGTGATGAAGGACTGTCCTCTACAAAAGGCAACTGAAAGATGGGACTTATTCTACAAATGGTTTGAGTCATTAGACATCACTTGAAGAACATGCATTAGAATGAGAACTTAAATCTGGAAGGCAAAAAATAGCAAAAAGAGCAATTTGGAATGTTGATATGGCAATATGTATAGAGTGGATATTAGTAGTATGTCATTGTTTCTCCCCTTCCCTTTAACCTCAATCCCTTTTTCGTTCCTGTTACCCTTTGTTAAAAATATTAAAAAAAAGATAACTGATGGAAACATACATATTTAGTTGCTTAGAAGCAGAGGAGTGATGTAAGCACATTTATATCTTTTCTTATAGGCAGATCTTGGTGTTATCAGGCAGGTAAACAACCATCACTAACAAGTGGGGGGGTAGTCACAATTATTTATTTATTTTATTTATTTAGCTTATATGCCGCCCACACTACCCGAATTATGATGAACTATAGGTTTCTATTCTTTTCCTGAGAGGTCTATAAATCTCTGTAGAATCCTGGGGAAGTTAAGTGTCCTAATTAGGGGTGTGGCCGTAGCACAGACTCTGCTCTGCTTGCCTTGATGAGATCTATGTCACCAACTCATCCAGGGGAGCTTTCCTAGCGGGTCTTTGGCGAACTCTTGGCAGATACCCTTCTGGGGTGATTTAGACTGGCTCCGATCCTTGCTGAAGGAGAGCGTTCAGAAGGTGCTGTGGGAAAAACCCATCCAATACCACAGCCTTTGCCCTACGCTGCCCTTCAGGAACCCATCTTCTCCCACACGCTGTTTAACATTCCTTTAAAACTACTCAAAGACAGCCCCTGGCATATTTGGGGCTTGGTTCAGTGCCATCAGTGTGCGAAGCTGTCACTCCACTTTCTTTCCTTTCTGTTTGCCTCATGAAAACTGTGAAACTGTTCCAGCCCCATACCAGCGCCTAGTCTCTTGATAGGCATGCCTCTTAAAATCCCTCCAATTAAGTTCAGCCAATGCTCTGCCATTGTTTAGAGATGGAACTGGCTTTCACTGTGCTTATCCATGCCCCTCCCTGCTGACTGGCAGCAACATGACAAGGACACTGCTACTCCATGGCTTCTCCTCCGATAGCTGAGGGCACAGAACAGCAGTGCTTCCGCTCCTGGCTGCAGGGCCATTCATTCGTTCGTTCGTTTGTTTGATTTATATCCCGCCTATCTAGTCGGTTAGGACCACTCTAGAATGCCTCTGTGGAGGACTGCGTCTCCACCCTTGGCCATCACCCTGAGGAGTGTCCCGAGTGCTTCTTAAATTTGAAATGAAGATGCTGGGACTGGTCATTAATGGGTCTGGAGCAAGGCGTCACTAGGGCAAAGGTAACACACCGTTTCACTATGCCCAAGTCTGACACAGCCACATCGATCTGGACTACAGCCTAGATGGCATTATGGGCTTACCAACTCAAGCAAAATCCCCAAAGGTGGAGACACTGAGGATAGGGAGCCAGTTTCCAGTCCAGAAGCCAAGTAATCTCTCTGTACTCAGCTTCCCGTCAGCTACAGCGCCAGACTGAAGGCGCCACTCAGGGTCTGCAACGCTCTGTACAGCCCAGGCCCAAGTTCGCCGAAAGGGTGCCTTCTTCCATATCAACTGCCCGAGTCCCTGTGATCTGTGGGGGGAGGCCCTTCTGGACTGGGGTCAAGCAACATTCATGTAATCCTGGTACAATGAGCAATCTTCTCTGCTAGGCTGCCCACCAAGGAGTGATGCCACCACCATGACTGCGCAGGCTTTGGACACGAAGTGCACTTGCCACCAGCTGGCAGCCGATTTGCTCGCTGACACATTTTTCTGACTGCTAACTTGCTCAGTCACACCTCTTGATTTTCATAGAATGCTTTAACTAATTAGTGTTTTATTGCTGCGGCTGCTGCAGTGGACTTTATTTTCATTTAATCAGACATACCATGATACCACTCGTCAACTCCGAAGATTCTCAGCAAAGTTCTCAAACCAAGTAAAATAAAGCACACACTGCAAGCCGTCCCTTCAAACCCTCGGAGCCATTGGTTTGAAAGGCCCCTGAAATGCCTGCCTCCCCAGGGAGGGCAATGTTGTTGCTCTGGAAGCCTCACTTTGGGGGGTGGGAGAGAGGAAGAGCATCCTGGGGACAGTGGGTCAACCCTGGAAAGGCTCTTCCTTCCTCCTCCCTCCAACCCCACAAGGACCCACAGAAAGGCACTGCAGGACATGGTCCACATCCAGGCATGATCATAAACAAAGGAGTACTGCTGCAGGCCGCTGGTCCTCAGCTGCCGATGACTTTTTAAAGGTCCACTCTGAGCGGTGACCAGGGTCAGGACAGAAGCTAGTAAAGGGGCTCCAAACCTGGGTGAGGTACATTCTGTCTGTCCAGCTCAAGGCATTAGTTCTAGCTTGGAGGTGGCAGAAAGAGAACAGACCCAGAGCTGCCTGGCCCAAAAGGCCACCGGAGGGCTTCCGACAGTCGCATTCCACCCAGCCACGTCCTACCTTTAATGAACTCACAGATGTGGGTCTGCATGGGGCCCTTCTCCATATTCTGCACGACACTGTTGGCGATTCGCGTCAGGTGGCCCATGTTGCCTCGCCTCATTCCACCTTCTGCTCTGAAAAAGGACAGCCCAGGTCACTTGTTGTCGTATCTGCGACCCTCTGAGTGACCCGCTGTGCATTCGCATCTATGGCTTTTGTGCCTCGCTCAGAACAATCCAGCAAAAAGGGCCTTTCCTTTTTTGGAGCTCATGCCTTTGGGGCGTGTCCCTCCCTGTTCCGCTGAGTTCCCTTCAGTCTGCAAAAGCCCCTCAAATTTGACGCTTCTACAGACAAAGTGCTGAATCGGGGAAGGAAGGCAGGCTGTGCAAATACACAGAAAAACCATTCCAAGAGCTGCAGCTATGGCAAGGCGCCTGTTCCCTTCCTCCCCGTGGTCTCTGGGCATCTCTCTCCCATGGGAGACTAGCCAATCTTATACCCTAGCAGGAGTGTGCCTGGCCCAGAAAAGGGTGCTGGATGTGGCAATGAAAAGAGGCCTTTCTTGTAGCAAGACTGCCAGCCGTGCAGCCCTTAACAGCAGAATCGGATTGGAGCCGAATGCAAGCCCAAGACCGAGGGACTTTTCATGAAGCCAGATAGGTGGTTGTGCACAGAAGAATGACTTTTTAGAACTTCTGCAGGGCGCAGCCCTTCAAACTAGAAGCAAACACCTCTGAGCGGAACTCGCCATTTGGAACATCCCTGGGAAAAAAGCAGGCTCCCTACTGCTTGCCCTGCAGAGAGGCTCCGCTTCATGCTTGTACAGGCCCACAACTCTCTCCCATCTAAGCAGAGCAGGGCATGCTCCACAGGTGAAGAGGGGTTGGGGAAGAAAGCAGGTACCTTAGTTAAGGGGAAAGGCATTTAGGAGCCTCCTGGTGCAACAGTTAAACTGCAGTACTGCAGCCAAGCTTCTTTCTGCTCAAGACCTGAGTTTGACCCCGATGGGCTCAGGTAGTTGGCTTGAGGTTGACTCAGCCTTCCATCCTTCTGAGGTCAGTAAAATGAGTACCTAGCTTATTGCGGGGGGGGGGCAAGCTGTTGTTTGCCTAATTATGTTGTAAACCGCCCATAGTCCTCCAGCATTATGGGGTGGTATATATGTTGAAGTTAAAACAACAAGCAACTTGGAAAAGAATAAGGGATCCAGACAGAAGACAATTCTACCCTCAAGAAGAACCGCTCCAGGGCAACCTGTCTGGAGGACAGGGATTTGGGGGCTGTGTCCCCTTTTGCTTATAGGAAAAGTGCCTTACTGTATTCTGTCGTTTGTCTCCCAGGCGTCCAGAATTCTCTGCACCAGGCAGCACTTTTGGAACAGCTGGAGAGGAAAAAGAGGAGCACATCAAGGCTCGACAAACGACACTGGATAGGCAGCCCCCGTTGCAGCCACAGAGACAAAGGTGGAAGGCCTCAGCCCCAACATAGAACCCCCCCCCCGCAACACACACACACCTGCAGTCCCCAGGCCTAAAATCCAACAGGCTACGCACAGGCAGGAACCCAGTAGTAATACGAAGCTATTTTGAGCCTTTCCAAAGCTGCCAGTAATCAACAACCGCTTCTCTTCCATGAGAGAACCTCTGACGCCTGGAGAGCATCTCGCTCACTCCACCGGTCCTCACAGACAAAAACAAAGGCGGTCAAGGCAAACTTTGACACCACTATGTCACTGTGCCGCAGTTACCTTCCTGCCTGGCAACCAACACATTCTTAATGACTATATGATGCTGTACAAACTCTTCACGTATCTCACATACACTGAAAATTCTATTAGGTTAAGTCAAATTCAGATAAAATCTGATAGCACATAACTCGTACACACAAACGCAGAACTTTACATTGTTCCCTGTTAACATTCATTTCACTTGCTTCTGCCTAGTGCTCCCATCTATTGAAGTCACTCCATTATTTTTTTCCCTCTTTCTTTCTCTCTTTTCCTGTTGCTGCTGCAGCATCACACTGTCAACTCATGTTTAGCTACTATTAGACACCTAGATTCAGTCTTGGGCAATCCTGAATCCTCCTCCTTCATTGTTCATTTAAGAGCCTTCTTAAATGAACAATGCAAAGAAATAGAGGAAAATAACAGAAAAGGAAAAACCAGAGATCTGTTCAGGAAAATTGGAGCCTTTGGTGCAACAATGGACATGATAAAGGACAAAAATGGAAGGGACCTCACAGAAGCAGAAGACATCAAGAAGAGGTGGCAAGAATACACAGAGGAATTTTATCAGAAAGATTTGGATATCCCGGACAACCCAGGGAATGTAGTTGCTGACCTAGAGCCAGACATCCTGGAGAGTGAAGTCAAGTGGGCCTTAGAAAGCCTGGCTAACAACAAGGCCAGTGGAGGTGATGGCATTCCAGCTGAACTATTTAAAATCTTAAAAGATGATGCTGTTAAGGTGCTACATTCAATACGCCAGCAAGTTTGGAAAACTCAACAGTGGCCAGAGGTCTGGAAAAGATCAGTCTACATCCCAATACCAAAGAAGGGAAGTGCCAAAGAATGCTCCAACTACCGCACAATTGCACTCATTTCACACGCTAGCAAGGTTATGCTCAAAATACTACAAGGTAGGCTTCAGCAATATGTGGACCGAGAACTCCCAGAAGTACAAGCTGGATTCCGAAG